AGATAGATAGATAGATAGATAGATAGAACGACAGAACGGTAGATAGATAGATAGACAGAACGACAGAACGATAGATAGATAGATAGATAGATAGATAGAACGACAGACAGAATGACAGACAGATAGATAGATAGATAGAACGGTAGATAGACAGACAGACAGACAGACAGACAGATAGATAGATAGATAGATAGATAGATAGATAGAACGACAGAACGACAGAACGACAGACAGAACGACAGAATGGTAGATAGATAGATAGATAGATAGATAGAACGGTAGATAGACAGACAGACAGACAGACAGAACGGTAGACAGACAGACAGACAGACAGACAGACAGACAGATAGATAGATAGATAGATAGATAGATAGATAGATAGACAGACAGACAGACAGACAGACAGATGCTGATGACAGTGTGTTGTTCAGGCTGACAGGAGGGGAACTGCTGGACAGGATTCTGGAGAGAGGCAGTTACACAGAAAAAGATGCCAGTCGTGTGATATATCAGGTGCTGCAGGCGGTGAAGTATCTGCACCAGCTGGGCGTTGTGCATCGAGATCTAAAGGTAAAAAGTTTTAATTCCAGCTTTTCACTGTGGGTGCTTTGCATGCAGCTAACTGGATATTACAATCATAATAAGTTCTCTCTCTATTAGCCAGAGAACTTACTGTATGAGACTCCATTAGAAGACTCCAAAATTGTCATCAGTGACTTCGGTCTGTCTAAAATGGAAGAGCAGGGAGCTCTTTCCACGGCCTGTGGGACACCTGCCTATGTCGGTAAGAGAGTTTATGATCATGATAATGACCTAATATCATGTGCAGTAACATACAGATTCAAGCTCAGAAAATCATGGTTCTAGTACTTTAAAAAAATCTGAAGCTCTAATGTGACGCCGAGAACTTTCTTTAATCTAAAAAAAAAAAAAAAAAACCTATAGCAACTTAAAATGGATAGTTCACCAAAAATGAAAACTCTGTCATTATTTACCCACTGTCAAGTTGTTTAATCTTTGACGACAAACATGTATGAGTTTCTTTCTTCTGTTGATCATGAAAGAAGATATTTTGAAGAATGTGGGTAACCAAAAACTACTACGGAAGACAATGGGGACCATCAACTGTTTGGTTACACTCATTCTTCAAAATATCTTCTTCCATGTTCAACAGAAGAAAGAAACTCAAAGAGGTTTGGAACATCTTGAGGGTGAGTAAATGATAACAGAATTGTCATTTTTGTGTGAACTATACCTTTAAGAGCCCTACATAACCCAAAACAGATGTGTTTCTGAACCACTGAAGAACCATTAGTTTTAAGAGCCTAGTCTTTACCATTGACTGTACTGTACCTCGTGAGTACTTGTGTTCACTATGTGTTTGTAGCTCCTGAACTTCTACAGCAGAAAACATATGGTAAAGAGGTGGATCTCTGGGCCATCGGGGTCATTACATTTATTCTGTGAGTGCTGGATTAATATTATTCACCCTACATGAATAAAACTCCACAGCGAAGAGTCTGTATCAGCAGTTTTTGATTTCCTGGCAGACTCTGTGGCTATCCTCCGTTCTATGATGACAACGACACACAACTCTACAAGCTGATCATAAAGGCTGAATATGAATTTGATTCGCCATACTGGGACGACATCTCTGACTCCGGTATGACCACAATAATATCTAATCCCTCTTCCTGCATTTTAAGAATGACCAAATCACATTCATATCATCCTCAATCCGAATGCGCATATAATGATGCTCCATGCCTCCTAGACCGGGTCAGAAGTACTGTATGTATTGTTTTCTAATAAGGAAAAATTACATATTTATATCTGAGATTTCTATTTCCATTTAGCATTATTTAATGCTACTGTTATGAAATATGTAAAAATGCATATAGCATTTATTTTTTTATAAAAAAGTGAAATTTTGAACTGAGGAGGACGGCTTATGAATGTACAAAACCCTTAAATGTCAGACACAAAATACTGTACAAAATCAAGAGTCTAAATAACGTAATTTTCTTCATTTTACATTTTTTTATTTTTTATTTAAATGTTATTTTTAAATAAAATACTTAAATGTATTTTAAATTTACATTTTTAGTTTTTAAATATATTTAATTTAATACAGAGCAAACTACTTTTTGTTAAATGCTGTGCTTGTGCAAATTTTTTTTTTACATAATGCATTATGCATATATTATGCAGTTACATAAAGCACTCTTAAAGGGACAGTCCACCCAAAAATACAAATTCTGTCATCATTTATTCACCCTCATGTTGTTTCGAACCTTTATGACTTTGTTTCATTCCATGGGACAAAAGGAGATAGTTTGAAAATGTTTCAACCATTTTTTTCTATGCAATGAAAGTCCAATGAGGTCTAAAACAACACCTTACATACATATATTTATATTGATGCACTGTGATCCATTTCAGTTATAACCAATGATTTTGCTTTCTGCAATAGCTTAGGAAATAATTGCATAAGATATAAAATCAAAGCATTAATGCTTTCATGAGCGGTTTTAAAAACTTCTCTCATTATATTAACGCAGAATGTTTTGTGCAGCCCTAAACGCGCCAAATGCTGGCCACATTAAGTGGTATTGATCTTCTTGTATTCTCTGCCTCTTCCTGCCCACTAATGCTTCAGCGAAAGACTTAATAGTTCACTTACTGCAGAAGGATCCAGCGAAGAGGTTCAATTGTGACCAGGCCTTGCAGCATCCTTGGTGAGTCCATAAATAGCAGGAAAGAGGCGGACGGGGAGCTGAAGGGTTGATCAGCGGTAAAAAGAGAGGCTGACCTTGAAGAACAGATGAAGAGTTGGGTCACATCTGTGCAGCGGCGTGGGAGGGCGTGCGCAGACAGGAAGAGGATTATGAAATATAGAATAAACAGATGTCTCTTCACCTGCAGCACTCTCAGATCTTTAAGAAGCACAAAACAATTATGATTTTCATTGCAGAAATGAAATGGAACAGAGTGCTCAAAGAAGCAATGCATTTAAAGAAATACGGATAATTGAGGCATAGGATTTTTTTGGTACTTGAATAACATACACTATAGCTTCCCAGAAGAAAGTTTTAATTGCTCAGATGTTGCTCAAAAGAGTCCTTTGAGGTTCCAATTATGCTTCATTCTCTGACCGTCATCTTTGTCTGAGATGTTTCTCTTAAAGTTCCTTAGGAGACATAGAGAAATTGTTGCAATACAGTAAGACTATAGAGCAGGGGTGCCCAAACTCAGTCCTGGAGGGCCGGTGTCCTGCAGAGTTTAGCTCCAACCCTAGAAGCTAGAAACTTCCCGGCACGTGTGTTGAGGCAAGTTGGAGCTAAACTCTGCAGGACACCGGCCCTCCAGGATCAAGTTTGGGCACCCCTGCTATAGAGCTATTAAATGAATGTGGATAGTGGCTCAGATCAAATTGGTATGGAAGTTTTTTCCACTATGAAAAAAACGTAATTGCGATTTTTCTCTCTCTCACAATTCAGACTTTGTTTCTAGCAAATCTTTTTTTTTTTCTCAGAATATAAACACAGAATTGTGAGAAATAAATTCAGAATTGCAGAATGTAAACTCAGAATTTGGAGTTTATATCTCATGATTTTGACCTTTTTTCCCCTCATAATTCTGCATAAATCTTGCAGTACTGTTTTTTTTCTGCCACAGAATAAAAAAGCAAATTTTTCCTTTGCCATTGCTAATTCCTTTCCACACAATTCTGACTTTTTGTCTCAGAATTGTGAGTTGTAAATGGAGCAGAAGACTTAATAGTCTCTATTTGCTCTTCTTTTAATTCTGTAGTCAATTGAGATATAGAAGGAATGTCATTTCAGATTTATACTTAGATCACTGTAAGATACTGTATGAGTTGTATATTACTGAATTTATGACCGGTGTTTTAGTGTGAGGATATACACTACCATTCAAAAGGCTGATGTCGGTAAGATTTTTAAAATGTTTTTGAAAAAAGTCTCTAATGCAGACCATTTAAGTATTTTTAAAAACATAATTAATATTTAAATATTGTTTAAAATGTAATTTATTCCTATGATGCAAAGCTGAATTTTCAGCATCATTACTGCATTCTTCAGTGTCACATGATCCTTCAGAAATCATTCTAATATGCTGATTTAGTGCTCAAAAAACATTTCTTATTATCATCAATCAATGTTGAAAACAGTTGTGTTTTTCCAAGATTAGAATAGAAAGTTCAAAAGAACAGCTTTTATTTGAAATAGCTTTTTCTAACATTATAAATGTTCTACTGTCACTTTTGAGTGCTGAATAATAGTATTACTCTTACAGACCTCTTGCTAACATTTGAACAGTTGTTTACACGTTTTATAAATTCTGAATGAATATTATTGCTTCTTAACGGCAGGATATCAGGAGGTGCGGCTCTAGACAAGAACATCCACGGCTCAGTGTCAGCACAGATTCAGAAAAACTTTGCCAAGAGTCACTGGAAGGTAAGAGTGAAGAAAACAAACCTGAGGCAACTTTAATCTGCCAACATCACAGTCTCAGCCTCATACAATGGACCACCTGATGCAAACTGTACACATAAAAGCTGAAATCCCCAGTTGTCATCTGGTTGGTTGACTGGGTTGAGTTCAAATCAGGGTCCTGAAATAAACCAGTTGAGAAGCACTGCATTAGTTGCATCTAAGTGGGCTGTTTTTGAGTAAGATCAAAAACTGACTAGACTTCTAAAGCACAAGACTCCCATCCTCCATGTGTCATGTGTAAAATAGCTCTATATGACCCGTGTCTGTGACCTCTGAGGCTGATACAGCACTTTGCATTTGTAAATGTATGGCTAGAGTTACTTTAGCAGCATATGGAGGCTTTGTTATTATTTGCCGCCAGTCGTTTGTTGCTTTACTCCTGATTGTCTGCCCTGCCATGCAATTACGGCTTGTATACCTTTAAAAGGGCAAACGCTGTAATTGCTGTAACTATCAGGCTTTTAGTTTTAGTGCAATAAATGCCTCCAAACATTAAACTGACTCTTCTGCTCTTATATGCAGCGTAGGTTCACTGTTTGCCATTTAAAGATATTTGCTTAAGTTCACTAGATTCTGCAGCATTATCGCTGGTGTCTTGTGTTCCAGAGAGCCTTTAATGCCACCATCATCGTGCGTCATTTAACAAAGAAAACCCACTCCGGGGAAGACGATGAAGGGAATCACTCCACAAGTATAGGTGAGGAGATGTCACATGACTGTGATTACCTGAGCTTTGTAAAAATCGATGTGTTTCAGTAAGGCGGGGCATAGAGGAGAAACAATAATGTACAGTATGTGGAAAATAATGTGTTTTTTTAACCTTAAACCGCATAAACACATTTCATTACACCAAATACAAAAAATAATGTTCTTTTTAGCAACATCATATGGCCCCTTTAAGGACAACAGCACTAAATTGATTTAGCTTTTATTAAGAAAATAATATGGAGCAACCATATTTTAGACTAAATATGAACATTACATATATTTTTTTTTCTCCACTGTTTGGCCAACAAGCTGTTGCATAATCGTTAGACCAAAAGTACAATTGACGTCAAAAGTTTACCTCCCCCTTTCAGAATCTGCAAAATGTTCATTATTTTACCAAAATAAGAGGGATCATACAAAATTGTTTATTTAGTACTGACCTGAATAAGACATTTCACATAAAAGACGTTTACATATAGTCCACAAGAGAAAATAATAGTTGAATTTATAAAAATGACCCCGTTCAAAACTTTTTGAATTTCAAGATCAGGGTAAATTTAACTTAAACATGTAACTATCTTCTGTAGCCTTTGAAGGGCAGTACTAAATAATAATAAAAAATATATATTTAGGCAAAATAAGAAAAATTTATTACTCTATTCTGTTTTCTTAATGGCTCTTAATGCATGTTTTTTTCTGGAATTCTGGAGCATCAGTGAGCATTTGAACCTTCTGTAATAGTTACATGAGTCCCTCAGTTGTCCTCAAATACACAAAAATGCTGCAAAACCAAAGAATTTGTGGGACCTGAAAGATTTTTCTGAAGAACAGCAGGCAGTTTAACTGTTCAGGGCAAACAAGGGACTCATGAACAACTATCACAAAAAAAACACAGCTGTGGATCATTCAGGTAAGAACACAGTATTAAGAATCATGGATGTAAACGTTTGAATGAGGTCATTTTTATAAATTCAACTATTATTTTCTCTTGTGGACTATATGTAAACATATTTTATGTGAAATATCTTAATCAGGTCAGTACTAAATAAAAAATAACATGCATTTTGTATGATCCCTCTTATTTTGGTAAAATAATTAACATTTTGCAGATTCTGAAAGGGGGATGTAAACTTTTGACCTCAAAGCTTTAACATCTTTTTCACTTTAACATTTTAATAGCTTAAAATGGTTTGCATTCCATTTAGATGAATGAAACTGCTCAAATTTTGACAATGATGACATGAAATTACTTGATTGCAATGTTTAATCCATGTAGATTTCTCATAATTTCTGTTAAAATTAATTTGAATTTCATTCTAAAACAGACTTTGGTTTAATCTAATGTTTTTTTGTGAGAGTCAATGAAAACAAATTATTTCACTTTTTCTGCAGGGACCATCTGACAATCTACTGGCAGTAAACCGAGGCTCTGTTAAAGGAATAGTTCACCAAACATGAAAACTGTGTCATTTACTCAAACTCATGTTACTCCAAACCCTTATGACTTTTTTCTTGACCCTCATTGTGTGAACAATGAAAGAAGCAGTGAACAAGTTCTGTGAAGATCCAAAAAGGAAACAAAAACATCATAAAAACAATTAATTCAACCGCATTTGCATATTCAATTTTGGCATGTGTCAATTGGTTATGAGACATGTAAGAACCAGTAGGGTTCAGCATCACTGACAGTAAACTTGGCGAGATGCATCTTCATGCACATATTGAACTATATGCAAAAGAGAATTAATGTCTGAGAACTGCAGTGGAGTTAAAGTTAGCAAGAAATGGATATTAATCCACTTTCTAAATGCATCTTACAGAACATATGGTGAACGATTCATCCATGCATATGTTTTATTTTTTACTTTTTTGACCTCGGATTTTTAAATCAAAATGTCTCGATCTTCTGGTGAAAATACAAAATTTCTTCCTAGTGACATGTGCCGGACTTTTCCAATCATTTAATATGTTTAAACCAATTCTTTGCTACACTGTTTAAAGCATTTTTTGGGAGACTGGCAGCAGGGTTATTATTGTTAACTAAAAGGAAAAATTAAACCATAAGAAAACACTTAATTAACACTTATTTAATATATATATTCAGCCACATTTCTCACTTTTTTCTTAATTTAACTTGAAGTACAAAAATTACTATAACTAAATGAAATAAAATGAATAAAAGACAAAAAACTAATAACAAAAAACCCAACAAAATTACTAAATCTTTTAAAAATACACACACACACACACACACACACACAGTCTGGTCAGCTATCCTTGTGGGGACTCTCCATAGGCGTAATGGTTTTTCTACTGTACAGACCGTATATTCTATTGCCCTACACCAACCCTACCCCTAAACCTACCCCTCACAGGAAACTTTGTGCATTTTTAGATTTTCAAAAAACTTCATTCTGTATGATTTATAAGCTTTTGTACCCGTGGGGACCACAATTTAGGTCCCCACCATGACACGAGTCCCCATGAGTCTGTGTGTAGTCAGGTTTAAGTCCCCACCAGGATATATAAACCAGTACACACACACACACAGTATATATAACAGTATATCAATGATAGTAAAATAACACTGATTGACAGTCCCTATCATTGTATGTAGGGTTGCAAAAAGGTGGAAAATTCCCAGTAAATTTAGGAAATATTCCAGAAATTTTGGAGACTTTCCAGGATTTTTGGAAAATTTCCGGAAATTTTCCACCCCTTTGCAACCCTAATTGTATGCTTGAGAAAAGAACATTTCGCTAAACTTTTCTCAAATAGAAAAATCACAGGTTTGGAACAACATAAGCAAGACACAATTTTCATTTTGGGGTCTGAGCGCAGTGGTCACTGTGTTGGGCAGTTTGACACAGACTCTGAAACACACCTGTGCTTTAAACGCACCTCTGTCAGTGAGCCTTCTGCCAGAGCTACTGCTGCTACACTTCAGTGGACTGCCACTGTAAAAATACCCTCAGTGGAGAGCAGCTCCTTCACAACTCGTGTTTTCATAAGTGTTCTACTCCCTGTCTACTTGTATTTGACGCATAACAGCATGCTGCTATTTGACAGAACGCAATATTTAGTCATGTAGTACTGTCTGTCAGCTGTAAGTTCTGTCACTTGAAGCATATCAGTGGCATTTGAAGAACAAATATGGCATAGAATAGGATATTACAATAGATAAATGAAGTAAATAGTAATTGTTGCCTTGTATCAGTGCTCTCATTACACTGTGGAATAAATAAACCGATCTGCATGTTGTGTTGTGAATCTGTCACAGGGATGATATACGAAGAAAAGGACACAGCCAAAAGAAAAGATTTAGATTTTGAATGCTCGCCATCCATTGTCTTCCCCGTCATAAGCAATCTCACAAAAGCACACAGCCCATAAATTAAGAACAACAACAGAGATTCTCCAGCACTGACTGTAATGATAGGCTGATGAGACAGATACGCTGCCCCCTCTAATTCATGGAAAGAGCTCTACATGCACGGACCAGCCGTCAGCTTAATGAAATCTGGCCTAAACTGATAATTCGATCAATTCTGTTTAAAAAAAGACATGAATGGGCAAGATACATGAGCTCATGATCTGAATATCAGTGAGGATGATTGTGGTTTTGGGTGAAAGAAAACAACTTGTAAGACTTGTAAAAAGGGGATATTTATAGAAAAAAGCAGTCAGAACTAAGTCGCTTTGTTTCATATGATAGCCTTCTGTGAGAAATGGATTGAAGTTTGGGTTATTCCCTAATATTTTCACTACATTCCTGTAGTTCAAACTTTATCAACACCAAAGTCATTAGTTCCATTCCAAAAGAATGCAATAAAAATAAAATAAAATAAAAAGTAAAAGTTGCTTTGGATAAATTTTCTGATCATATATACAAAAAATGTTTGAATGTACTGTAAATTATCAAATTAATCTATTTCAATTTTACACACACACACACACACACACACACACACACACACACGTCCATTGAATTTATATTATTTAATGTAACTGTGAATATATTTAAATGTTTTATGATTTTAATATATTTATAAAGCACATAAAAATCTCAATCTATCTATCTATCTATCTATCTATCTATCTATCTATCTATCTATCTATCTATCTGTCTATCTATCTATCTGTCTGTCTGTCTATCTGTCTGTCTATCTATCTAGCTATCTACTGTGTGTTTTGTAATATATGAACAAGTAGTTATAATTGAATCCAGTAGGGGGCACTTTAGGTCTCTTTTTAGAAGTTATGCAAGACATATTTCCAAACATCAGTAATTGCAACTTTTTTAATTATCATAATTTATAAGAATTATTATTATTTGAATAAGTAACCTAATTCTACGAACTGGTTGCTTGATTTCTTGATAAACCTTTTTGTGCCAAATATTTTTTAAAGAAAAATAGTCATGCCAGTCATAGCCATGGCCATTTCTTTTTCTATATTAATGTGTGCAACATTTCGTTAAAATCTAGATTCATTTCTACATCTTTAAGCACAACAGATAAATGTACAGTAATCGCAGTCACAACATTATTGTCCGGTGTCTATGTGATGATATTGCCATTTGGCAAAGAAGCTAAAGCCTGGCCTAATTATCAGATGAATGGAGAGTGATTAATGAATAATGTTTTATTGACATTAAATAAGATCATCCACTCAGCATGATTTACTACACGCTTCAAACAGACACCGAAACAACCAGATCACACAGTAAGAATATGAAACGATCAACCTCGGCACTCCAAAGCGGGAAACAGAAGGCCATTTGCGCTGAGAGTTATCCATCCTTATCCTAAACTAATGAGACAGATTCCTGAAAGCTTTTCACTGTACATAAAAACTCAGGGAAAAAATGTCCCAGTGACCCGGAGACTCTTAGCAGCTGTAGTCTGAGTCTGAGGGGAGTACAAAAATATGTTTGATCACACTTTTTTTATGTAGTGCAAATGAGTTTTATCAAATGAAAGCGTTTAGAACAACAACAGCAACATTCTGCTCTTATCAAAAGACGGCAGCTTTAATAAAACAGCTCTTGGTAGAAAATTAAATATCCTGAAGTATTGCGGTTTCGAAGGAACCATGAGGAAGCAATTTACAGCACCGCAGGCAATTACATATTAAACAATCTCAAAATGGTCTGCCAGTTAAGACGTGTTGTTAGGATGTTCCAAGGCAGAGAACGCGAGCGAGCTCTCTGATTGGTCGGGGGAAATGTTCAGCTGGCCAATTAGAATGCAGCGCCCCTAGAAGCGTGATTTGAAAGTGCATGCATACCACTAGAACAGCCACAGCTAATGCAGTGAATAAATATCTAATGGAGAGGTTTTTAATCAGATATGGAACGGCACGCCTCAAGTAATGGACAGCGTGACCTGGATTACCACTAACAACTCCAGACACCTGAACTGTCTGTCCACTTAACTGCGAGTTTGAAAGGTCATTGTCTGCTTTCCCAGCAAGCATGCATGCAGTTCATGCCTGTGAATTACACATCTTGGGGTGTTTTTCCAAATCTGAAAGAACTCTAAAAATGAAAAGTGACTAATTAAATTATAGTCTCATTCTTGGGAAAGTCCTGTCTCGGAAAAAATCAAAGCAGGCATTGTTAAACTGGACAAGGGGGTGGAAACTTGAATGTATTTATTTTATTTAGCTTTTATGAAGGTTGAAGGCCTATGTATCTGCATGTCTGTTTTATTTAGTGATGAGCTATGGGAAGCCAAAGTTGAAAACATCACATGACCAGCTGAGTACTACGAGTTTGAGTTAAAGGAGGGGATGGAGCTGTCCCAGCTATTAAAGATCCCGGTCATGATTCAGAACTGCAGACAGTAAGTGAAACGGCATCAAACGTCTGTTTTGTTGGCATTCGGCGCCCAAGTGCTCGTCACTCTTTAGCTCCGCCCCCGGCGTGCCTCCAGGAGCTCGGCTTTTTCCGGAGAGAATCGTAAAGCTGTATCTTTCTTTTATAAATATGATAAAACTAAAGACTTTTTGGAGATATGAAGGATGCAGTACTACTCTATAGGTACTCAAGATTAACATGAGATTGGGTGAAACTGTGTGTGTTATGCTCCCTTTAAGCAATTATTTTGCTCACGGAATAAATTAATCATGGCTGACCACGATTCATGATTCTACAATGGCATTGGCAACTGATCATTTTTTGCTTTTGCATGGTGCTACACTAATGCAATGTGTAAATGTAGAATGTAAAAATTGTTTAAAATTTCAAATAAATTAATAAAAAAATACCACATGACAGAAAATAGGATCTGCAGGGCAAATAATAATAATAATAATAGTAATAAATTAATGCCAACTATAAAATAATTATAATTATTATTATTATTTAACATATTTATTAATAGGATGAAAGCCTTATAAGTTTCTTCACCAGGGTCACACATGACTAATGAACTGTTTCTGTCTTGAATAAAAACAAAAGAAACGAATGACTAATTATTAATTTAAT